AATAGTACTAGTCGGAATGGGTATATGGCTAATTTCTATATATTAAACTCCATTTGCATATTATGAAATTGCAACCAAGGAACCCCAATATATTGGAACCCAAAGTTAGATGAAATGCATAAAAGATGAGAAACTGACCAAACACGGGATTAGGCTCACTTTCTTCTTCCTCATGCTGTACAAATGATCATGCCTCTGAGCTCTGGCATATTGAGCACTGAAAGTTCAACTTTTCAGTTTCCCAACTGAGAATATCATGTAATCAACCTGTGTTTGAGCATGACACTCAAGGCGAATGGAGTAAAAATCAAGTGCAGGTGATATTGGATAAGTATTTGACAATGTCAAAACAAATGCATTTCAATTGCTTAAAGTACAAATTCAAAATAAACTGAAACTAATTTCTTTATCCATCTAAGTGTGCATAATATGTTACATGGAAGCCAACGTATAAAAAGAAGAAGAAAAAAAACAAGTGAAAAAGTGAAAATCCGACTTTACCAGTTTTCTAGTTTATGTCCAGCACTGTCAAAAAGCATCTTCCGTGATTCATTGGTACAAAAATTTACTTCACCTATTACAATTGGTTTGGCCTCAACTTTTTCGCCCTGCATGACAACAAAGGCAATCAGAGAGGTAAGACAAACAGTGAGATCAGGAGAAATATGGATCATTTGGAAGTATACTGCTGACCCTTGCATAGATTTCGGACCTTTTAATTTTTCTTTTTTATTCAATTCAATGCTTGACTAAAATCTAAAGATACATAAGGATGTAACTGAGAATCAGGGAACAGAGTGGGGGAATAGAGAGAAGTAAAATGATCAGATGATATGGACTTTTTTTAATCTTTTTTTTTTTTTTTGATGAAGAGATAAAATGGATTAAGCCGATGCCAAATACCTATAGGATGATTAAGATAAGAATGATTACTGATTTTTCTAATTAGTAAGTTTAAACTTTGACGTTTTTAAAGACAAAAATCCATACTCCAAGTTAGTAGAGAATCTTTGTATCACTATCAATGTGGGTTACAAATTTTGCCGATATACAGTTAAATGCATGGGTGCAACTTTTATGCGTGTGTGTGAAAAAGGGGAGCGGGAGAAGAGCATTATTGGAGGTCATATGCAACATGTACTTTGGGCCATTCTCCATTTTGGTCCCCAAAATTTCAATTCAATTCAGTCGTATCCCTGTAGTTAATTGAGGCTTGCAACTAAGTCCAATTTGGATATGAGACTCTTAATATTGATGGAAATCTCGATTTGGCTTTACAGAACACTTAATATATCAATACACAATAAGAAAGTTAGGCCATTAAAATTCTTCAGCAAAGAAGTCCAAGAAGAAGCTAAAAGCTTAATCCTAGCCCAGAGTAACTTCAATTCTTCCCTTGTTTCCCTAAATAACCACTGTAGTCCATCCAAATCTAACACACAACGTAATAGCCAAAACCGCCCACCTCCAAGGGTAACCAGCTTTTCCTGGCTCCTAACAAAAAAGTAGCTCCTAGGACACACCCGCTCGAATCCAAATTCCAAACACCTCCAACAAGAGAGCCCGGGTTTGCCTATTGAAATGTCAATGTAAAAGATGCAGTATGCCAGCATTTACCCAGAACAAAGCCACATAGGTTTTATGTCTACTCTCGAAGTTTCTAAACTTAATTGTAGCAGTAAATTTTCGGTTGAAGATAAACAGGGAAAACAATATTATAGTAACAATAACAATGTTATGAATAAACATCCTACATAAGTTAAAAAAACATCATTATGAAATAGAGTACAATATCTAACCGGACTACAGCTTCATTGCCATGGAAAGCTGCGGCATGTGCAAGTTGATTTTTTTTTTTTTACCAATTGCTTCTTTATCAAATATGGCATCTTATAAAACAACGGATGATGCTCCCTGAGTAATATATTCCCCAACAGAATCTGTATCAATTAGAAGAACAAAGTATCGACATAAGTAACATGGGCTGATGCTCAAAGCCAATAAACATATCTTTTTTCAGGAACATGATGAACTAGATCAGATAAAAAGGAGTAAACTTTCACTACTGGAAATAAAATTAGCTAAATATAACTACAAAGGTTTTCTATATGGTTTAAGTTTTAACTAATGTAGACCCAAAAAACAGTTATCACGATGCAAGCCCAAAGAACTTTTCCTTCATGCAACCCCTAGCAATATCTGCTTATCACATAGAAGAGAAGAGCAACCCACCGGGCCGATGGAACTACCCAACTCACATAGATCAGCTAGCACCATATGCTTTTCACGCCCTCTAGCACCGTATGTATTTCTCACTTTACATAAACTAAATATCTTCCCAATACTAACACAAAGTGATGGAGTAGACTGGAGTTTTAAAGGGAACTGGAGAGTCAAGCAACCATAGAGATATGGGAAATAGGCTTCTTGATAGCTGATATACATTGTGCGCCATCTAATGCAGAAAAAGGATAAACTAACCAATAAACAACTTTAGAACCTACCAGTCATGCCTGGAATGGAACAAACATGCATAAGAAATTTAACTGAACCAGCCAATAATCAGTTAACAATCTAATCACTTCCGGTTTTAAATTACATGCACACGCAACTAGAAATGCATACATAATGAATTATGTTGGGAAAACAAAGCAACATTATGCACCAGTACAATACATGAACAACCAATGAAAGTTCATGGCTTAAGAAACAAAAACTACGTCCAAAGTGCTAACTCAATAGAGAATGACTACAAATTATGTAGCAGAAAAAAATTACAGTAAACAGGCTGCGGTGCTTGCTAAAGGTCTTGGCTTGTCTGCAGATTGTTTGGAGATTGCTCTAAGGTGATGGACAGTGATAGAATCGGCTTGTTGAGGGTGAAAAATCAGTTAGGACAGTTCCTACCTGCACAGCACTTAGCACACTCAGAGAACGTAAATTTTAACGGTCTCAATTTATATACGGACCAGTACCTCGCCCTTCTTGTAATATGGAATTACAATTTTGAATACCAATAAAAAAAAACACCTTTATTAAGATTTATTTCAGGTTGGTCACTGCTATACATATTACATACAACCAGATTGGTCACTTACATATGCATCTACTATGATTTGTACCAGAACAGACGTGACAGAAATTTGAAAAGAGACGCTATTAATGGTTTTCTAGTAAATCATCTTAAACATAAGCTAGAAGGCATTCCATATAACATCCAAGGAATGGACATTGTATGGCTATTCTTCCACATTGAACCAATATTTATGTTATACAATGCAGACACAGCATATCTGCAAATATTACTTTATCTACATTCTCTGTCAAACACCATGAATTAGAGCCCACAAGAAAATACAAAAAACATGTCAAGATATTGAGGAGGAAAAAGACGATTACCCCTAAGACTCTTGTAGGATGGTCGTGTACCAGCTGTCATAGAACATGTGTAGGAAGGGTTAAAAATAACATAAGTTCTCAACCTTGGTGACCATTTTTAACAGGAAACGGGAAAGTTTTAATGTTTAAACAACCTCAAACACACCTGGGGTCGACATCACAATCTCCAGCTACATATGAAGAAATATAAAATATTTGAAACCCATCACTGGTGATCCAAAATTAAAGTATACTACTCACTGTAGATGTCATTAACAATGCAAACAAGCAGCAAACATTTCTTGTACAAGGGTTGCGCTTCCTTGGCAGTTGGCACTCTTTTTGTAAAATGTGACACATATCGTCAGGTTACCAACAGACAGAAGAAAAGGAAGAGCAATTGAAAATAAATCAGGGTTACCTCTTAGAATGAGAGACAACCATTATATATCAACCAACATATTTATGCTTACAAAACTACCCCAGCTGCTGTATGAGAAAACCCTAACACTTGTCAAAAACAGGAAAATGCAGCAGATACTTCTTCCTTCCCATATGAAGTTGTAACACAACTTTCCAAAATGCAAGGCGCCTTAGGCTTGGCAAGAAGTTGAAGTATCAACCACCAGGGATCTTGCACATGCAGCTTCAATTGCCAGCTCTGTACTACACAAAAGGGAAACAGAGAGTAAGCCCAAAAACCTGGGGTAAATCATCTGCTAAATTTGCCAAAAATACAAAAAAACTTGTAACATTGTTATAAAATTCAATCTTAATAACTCTATCACCATGTTCAGTTTCAACTTTTGACAAGTGAAGATTAGCAATATTATCTTTTTAGAGCAATAAAAAATATTATTCAAACAAAATGCAGTACAAGCAGCCAGGGTTACACAATAAATCAACAAGGATTCCCTGCACAAGAAGCATAACAGAAGCTCAAAACCAAGTAAATTACAAGTTAGAAAGGAGCTCAGCACCCCCGGAGCTAAGCACTTCCTAAGCCTCAAACCTGCATTGGAAATAGAATAGACATGATTCATTAGGCATGGGACAGATGCTTTGTTTTTCCAATAAGTAAATCTCAGACAGAAGAATGAAATCTTTATAGGCAAATCTTCAAAATTTTAAAAGCACCCTACGGTATTCCTGGAAAAAGTTGCAAGTGGTTGTATTTCCGGAAAAGGGTATTTCACTCTTGCCTTTATTTCATTTAGGAACAACCACTGATGCAATGCAAAGCAGTCCACACTGCTTTAATTAGCAGAACTGAAGGCAAATTAGCTGATGGGAATATGCAAAAGTCATCAGTAAAGCAAAGACATAATATTCTCAACTTTGCACATATTGAATGACAAATTAACTTATGAAAAGTTTTCTCGTCCATTAGCATGGTAAACACGTCCTACATAATAATGACAAAAAGAAAAGGAGATAAACTGTCCCTTTGTCTTGTTGCCCTGTCCTGAAAGAATCCCATTAGAGAACCAGTTAATCATATACAAAAACTAGGCATAGTAAACACACAGGCTAATGCTATACAAAAACTTTCACAATTGAACCTGGGCAAAGGGTTAAGCCAAAAAACAAATCATAAAAGAAGTAAGAATCCAGGAGTAATGACTATATCTGATATTCTTATATAAATCTGGAGCAAAAATGAGTTTTCATATCATACTTATTGAACAACACATTTCCCAGAGAAACCGTCTCTAAAGAAAAATTGTGAAAAAACAATACAGAAAAAATAGAAAATAAACCATTGACATATTTTTTTACAGGAATATAACCAGAAACTATATCATTTCTATTATACTGATCCACTGATTGACTGATGCGGTGGAGAAATGGAGCCCGAATATGCAGCCAGTCGATCCACCAACACTCACAACCAGGAATATACTATGAGGCAACATAATGTGAAAGCCTAGACGCCATATTTGCAACCTGTGATTGCATTTGGACAGCCCTGACTTTCGCTGCCGTAGCGCGATCATAGAACTGCTTGCGTGACAAAGACCTCACATTCTTTAAGTACTCATCAACGGGTATTGCCCCATCTTGCAATGCCTTATCTAAGGAATACACAACATCTTCTATAGCCAAATCAGAGGCCGTACAATCCAACATTTGCTTCGACAGCACGTCTACGCATTCGAATGCATCGTCCACATCAACACCATTCAACCTGCCCCTAGGTTTCCCCTCATTCTCTCTCAGCCACCCCTCCAAAACGTCTGAATTCATCAACACCATTTGCAATTGCTGCTCCAAACCCTCCTTCTCGTCCCCCATCTCCTTCAAACCTTTGCTAAGCTGCTCAGACCGCTGCCTCAGCTCGGCCTGCGCATTGAACAAGCCTTCCATTTCTGCCTCCCTCGTCTTCCTTAACCCGGCCACATCGCCGTGCACGATCTCCACAAGCTTACTGATCGCATTTCGCTTGAAAACCTCGTTCGGATCCTCGGTCTGAACCCGAGAAAACGACCCGCTGCTTCCATACGGGGACGGCGGGTAGGCCCTCGGGGGGATCGCGGGGCGGGCAGGAGTAACCGAGCCTGAAGATCCCGAATAGCCCGAATAGCTGGAATAACCCGAATTCGAAATCGCCGAGGAGGAATGACCCAGATTAGGGTTAGGGTTAGGATTTGGATTGGGATTGGGCCTGCGCTGAGAGAACAGAGGCGGGTCTTGACCAAAGACAGCGCTGAGATTCTTGGCGAGATCGACAAGATTGGAGCTCGGGTAGACCCAATTGTGCAGGTAAGGGATTGAGACCAAACCAGAGGGAGTAACGTGGGCGTGAGGGCGCTTGATGATCATGTCGCGCGTGGGGTTGACGTAGACGACGGGCGGCTGGCGGGGGTAGGACTCCATGAGCCAGATGATGACGGGGATGTTGTAGGTGACGCCTTGAAACGACATGGGGACGGTGCCCTCGGCCTGGAGGAGGTTGACGGAACGACCGTCGTTGTGGGTGAACGTCGCCGTTTTGGGGTCGAGGGAGGGGTAGGCGGTGGTGAGAGAGACGAGGTGGTTGCGGATGTGCCATTTGGTGTCTTCGGAGTAAGGGAGGGACGAGGGGCCGCGCTGCGAGAGGACTGAGCTCAGGAACTGCTGAATCAGTTGCGGGTTCGCTGGGGTTGGACTGGCCGGCGGAACCATCGCTATTCGGGTCGGGAAAATGGAGATTTCAGATTGAGAGAGAGAGAGAGAGAGAGAGAGAGAGAGAGAGAGGATTTTGATTGTTGATTTGAAATTGGGGGATTTGTTTGTTTGTTAGTTTGCTTCGCGGAAAAGGGATTGTGAGCGTGCCGTGTTGAGTTGAGACTGGCGTGTGAGCGTGTTGCTGACCTTCCCTTTCAGAACTGGTGCGCAAAGTCTCTGAACGCTCAAAAATATCTCCGGACACCCAAGCGATCTTTACTTTTTTTTTTATATAAATACAAATGACATTATACTTTAATTTAATCTAAAATTATCGGAAGGGATTCGAACTCGGATGCTGAGTAAAGAACATATTCACTTTAGTCAACTTGGCTAAATCCATGTCTGCAAGATAACAAGGTTGTTCGACCAAACAAAAATAATAATGGTAACAAAGTTGTCACAACTCACTTGAAGCAGACTCTCAAAAGTGACAGGATTTATACTAAATTCTCAAGGATCAATAGGATAAAATTATACTTGTTTCAACAAAAACATGCAGCAAGTTGATGTCTAGAGTATATACATTAGAGTCATTTAAAATAACATATTGTGAAAATGTCTACTTTGGTACAGAAAAATACTCTTTCTTATAGAACTAAAATACGGCAAACAAAACTACACTCCAATAACTCTTTGTGTCCTGGAGACCATCCATTATGGAGCCTGCCTGCATGTGTTAAAGCTTGTTAATTACTAGACCTCAAAGCAAAAATTACTTCAATTTTCTTCCTTGTCAAATGATCCTCACTCCTGGCTGAAACTTCAAAGCATCTCTACAAAATTTGGTCATCCTGCCAAAGAGAAGCATTAAAACAAATATGTAAAAGAGCAAAAGACAGACATTACTACGAAATGAAAACTTCAAACAATCTCCTCGTATTTGAATTCCAAAGCAGCTAATATTAAACTCCATTTGAATATTAGGAAATTGCAACCAAGTTAACCCCACTATATTGGAACTCAGAGTTGGATTAAATGCATAGAAAGATGAAAAACTGACCAAATACGGGATTGTGCAGGCTCACTTTCTTCTTACTCCATGCTGAAAGGTCAACTTTTCATTTTCCCAACTGAGAATATCATGTAATAAACCTGTTTGAACATGGCACTCAATTTTAAAAAGGTGAGGCGAATTGAGTGAAAATCCAGTGCAAGTGATGTCGGATTAATATTGATAATGTAATAACAAATACATGAACAGGTTCATGATGCTTAATAGTTCAACAAACTACTATGACGGTTTCAGTTGCTTGAAGTACACATTCAAAATAAACTTAGACTAAATTCTTTATTGATCTAAGAGTGCATAATAGGTTACATGGAAGCCAACGTATAAAATGGAGAAAAAAAATAAGCAAAAAAGTGAAAACCTGACTTTACCAGTTTGCTAGTACATGTCCAGCACTGTCAAAGCATTTTCCAAACTACATTGGTATAAAATTTTACTACACCTATTACAAATGGTTTAGCCTCAACTTTTTCATCCTGCATGACAACAGAAGCAGTTAGAGCGCTAAGAAAAAAAGTGAACTCAGGAGAAATATAGATCATTTGGAAGTATATTGCTGACCCCTGCATAGATTTCAGACCTTTTAATTTTCTATTTTTTTATTCAATTCATTACTTGACTAAAATCTAAAGATACATAAGGAAGTAAATGAGAGTAAGGGATCAGAGTGGGGAATCAGAGAGAAGTCAAATGATGAGATAATATGGATTTTGATATACTGAAAAAGAGAATATTCCACCAATGCCACAAACCTATTGGAGGATTAAGACAAGACTGATTACTGATTTTTCTAATTAGTAAGTGTCAGCTTTGAGTACTATTTTTAAAGACAACAATCCATATTCCAAGTTAGTAGTAGATCTTTGTATCACTATCCATCAATGTGGGTTACAAATTTTGCAGATATACAGTTAAATGGATGGGTGCAACTTATATACGTGTCTGTGTGAGCAAAGGGAGGAGGGGGAAGAGCATTATTGGAGGTCATATGTAAGACGGCCAAACTACAAAATTAGTTCATGTATTTTGGGCCATTCTCCATATTGGTCCCCATACTTTCAATTCAGTCGTATCCCTGTAGTTTATTAAGGCTTGCAATCAAGTCCAATTTGGATTTGAGACTGTTAATATTGATGGAAATCTCGATTTGGGTTTGAGACTGTTAATTAACTACAGGGATAATAAGATAGGCAAAACCGGAAGTGTGGGGATCAAAGTGTAAATGGGCCCCAAATTGTAATTTACCATCTAAGACTAATCCCCAAATTGTAATTGACCATCCAAGACTAATCCACTTTGAAGTATTTTAAACTTTTTAATATGATAAAGGCAAACTTTATCAATAAAAATAGAAGAAAGTTCCTAAAGATGGATGATAAGTTCATCAAAATTAGTTCTTTAACCTCAAACAAAACACATAATGTACTCAACACACAATAAGAAAGGAAGGTCATTAAAAATGTTTGGCAAAGAAGTCCAAGAAGAAGCTAAACATTTAATCTTATCCCAGAGAAACTTCAATTATTCCTTGTTGCCCTAAAGAACCACTGTATTCCATACAAACCAAACACACAACGTAACAGCCAAAACAGCACACCTCCAAGAGTAACCAGCTGTTTTTGGCTCCTAACAAACCCTTGGCCAACAGCAAAAAGTAGCTCCAAGGACACACCCACTAGAATCCAAATTCCAAAACACCTCCAACAAGGGAGCCCTGGTTTGCCTACTGAAATGTCAATGTAAAAGATGTGGTCTGCCAACAACAGTTGCCAGCATTTACCCAGAACAAAAGCCACATGGGTTTTATCTACTCAAGAAGTTTCAAAACTAAATTGTAGCAGTAAATTTTTAGTCAAAGATAAACAGGGAAAACAATATCATAGTAACATTAGCAATGTAATGAATAAACATCCTACATAAGTAAAAAAAAAAAAAAACATCACTATGAAACAGAGGACAATATCTAACCGGTCTACAGCTTCATTGCCATGCAAAGCTGCGGCATTTGCAAGTTGATAGATTTTAGTGAAATTTTTTTGACCCATTGCTTCTTTATCAAATATGGCATCTGATAAAACAACTGACGATGCTCCCTGAGCAATATACTCCCCAACTGAATCTGTGTCAATTAGAAGAACAGAGAATCCACATAAGTCAGATGTACATGCTCTGATGCTTAAAAACAAAGAATCATATCTTCCTTCAAAAACATGTTGAACTAAACCTGAAAAATAGGAGTAAACTAAATATCTTCCCAGTAGTAGCACAAAGTGTGGGCAGCACTGGAGCTTTAAAGAGAACAGGAGAGTCAATTACCAACCTGTTGTTATGCCTTGGGAAGCAACCATTGAGATATGGGGAAAAGGCTTCTTGATAGCTGATATATATTGTGAACCACCTAATGCAGAAACAGGATAAACCTGATTATCAAATAAGACGGAGTTAGAACCCCTCAGTCATGCCTGGACCCGAACAAACATGCATAAGAAATTGAACTGAACCAGCCAATAATCAGTTAACAACAATCTAATCACTTTAGGTTTAAAACTATATGCAGATGCAACTTGAAATGTATACATAATGAATTATGTTGGGTAAAAGCAACATATGCACCAATAAAATACACCAATAACCAATGAAAGTTCATGGTTTAAAAAATAAAAACTAGGTCCAGACTGCTAACTCAATAGAGAATGACTACAAGTTATGCAGAAGATATTTATAACTTTCCTACTTTTCATTTAAGCTCCATAAAGCAAATTAGATATTTAAAACTTTCCTACTTTTAATTTAAGTACGACTCATAATTATTAAGTGTCTGATAACCAGAAACCATCATGCCATGCTCACATACCTAAATAAAAATTATAAAGGCCTGGTAAAAACAGGATAATAAATTTAATAACGTAGCCTTATAAGTGTACAGAAAGCCAGTGAAGATGACACGTCTACCTTGATGAACTTCTACAAGAAAAAGATGAATGCGTTTAAAAAAAATATAAAAAAGATGAATGACAAGAATCACCTTGACAATTTTGGCACCAGCATCATATGCAGACAATATCTGCAAATAGAAAATTAATTTGAGGAAAAGGTGATCAGCCTTTTGCAACCCCAATCAGAAAACAATGATATAAAAATGCATCTAGATTTGCCATACAATGACAAAAGTAGAGATCAAGGAAATAAACATTCTAATAAGTCAAACAGGTTTAAGTGAAAATCCAACAAAGCCTCGGAGATTACAAGGAGTTAGAATTTAAGTATAAGAAATGCTTTTACCTCTGTTGGGGTCATAACACCAGGTATGTATAAAACTCCACTATCTTGAAAATCATCCAAAATGCCCTGATGCACATTTTTGAGTTATTAAAAGCAAGCAATATTAGATACATATCCTAATACCTTAACATGGAGAGACACCATAATTGATAATAAATGGAAATAATAGAAGTTACATGCGAGGAAGATAAGAAAAGTAGAGAGATTCAAGGATAGAAAAGAAGTAAAGAGGGAGGATCAGCGAAATTGGAGTAGCCACTCACCAGTTTTATGTATATAAAAATGCTATGCCAAAAGGAATGGGACCTTTACAAAGATAAGCTGGGAGCCCCACATAGTCTGGGGTTTGGTTACTCAAAATACCTAGTATCTATCTTGCTATTTGCTAGACTTTCCTGCCTCCCAATGATTGTAGGGTTTGTCTCGTGGCCCCAGACAAACTAGCAATCATAACCAAACATAACCCAATAAAAGGTAGAATGGAGAGAAGAACATGGTAGATGTGCTCTAATGCCAACTTAAAATGTGCTTTGTCCCTCATGCCAAGTTAGAAGTTAGATTAGATGAAGGTAAGAAACATTGAGAGATGGAGGAGAGAAAAAGAAGAAAAGAGAGTGAGGCTACGTCGAATTAGGGTTGCTACTCAGAATACAATATCATACTCCTATATATATTTCTACAAGGCCGAAACAGAAAAAGAGAGGCAAAACAAAAGACTGTTCCTAATAATAACAAAACGAGAGAGAGAAACTAATAATGAATTTCATGACTAATAGATAATAAGTTTTAGTAAAGAAAAAGTGGCCAAACATTTCTCAATGCTTACCTTAACCATAGCAGGACTCATAAGAAACTTGGCTCCTGCTATCATTGCCCTTTTGGCATCCTCAACATTTAATACAGTTCCTACCTGCAGGGCAGGCACAAAGCAC